CAGAATATCAACTGGTTGAGATAAACCTGGTATTCAGATGAAACACGGAAAACCTGCCTCAACACAGATTGTTGCAAACTGCCTCAACACGGACTGCTTCAACCTGCCTCAACACGAACTGTATGTAACCTGCCTCAACACGGACTGTATGTAACCTGCCTCAACACGGACTGTATGTAACCTGCCTCAACACGGACTGTATGTAACCCGCCTCAACACGGACTGTATGTAACCTCCATCAACACGGACTGCTTCAACCTGCCTCAACATGGACTGTATGTAACCTGCATCAACACGGACTGCTTCAACCTGCCTCAACACGGGCTGTATGTAACCTGCCTCAACACGGACCGTATTCAACCCGCCTCAACACGGACTGTAGGTAACCTGCCTCAACACGGACTGTATGTAACCTGCCTCAACACGGACTGTATGTAACCTGCCTCAACACGGACTGTATGTAACCTGCCTCAACACGGACTGTATGTAACCTGCCTCAACACGGACTGTAGGTAACCTGCCTCAACACGGACTGTATGTAACCTGCCTCAACACGGACTGTATGTAACCTGCCTCAACACTGACTGTATGTAACCTGCCTCAACACTGACTGTATGTAACCTGCCTCAACACGGACTGTATGTAACCTGCCTCAACACGGACTGTATGTAACCTGCCTCAACACGGACTGTATGTAACCTGCCTCAACACGGACCGTATGTACCCTGCCTCAACACGGACTGTATGTAACCCGCATCAACACGGACTGTATGTAACCCGCATCAACACGGACTGTATGTAACCCGCATCAACACGGACTGTATGTAACCTGCCTCAACACGGACTGTATGTAACCTGCCTCAACACGGACTGTATGTAACCCGCATCAACACGGACTGTATGTAACCTGCCTCAACACGGACTGTATGCAACCTGCCTCAACACGGACTGTATGTAACCTGCCTTAACACGGACTGTATGTAACCTGCCTCAACACGGACTGTATGTAACCTGCCTCAACACGGACTGTATGTAACCTGCCTCAACACGGACTGTATGTAACCTGCCTCAACACGGACTGTATGTAACCTGCATCAACACGGACTGTATGTAACCTGCCTCAACACGGACTGTATGTAACCTGCCTCAACACGGACTGTATGTAACCTGCCTCAACACGGACTGTATGTAACCTGCCTCAACACGGACTGTATGTAACCTGCCTCAACACGGACTGTAGGTAACCTCCATCAACACGGACTGTATGTAACCTGCCTCAACACGGACTGTATGTAACCTGCCTCAACACGGACTGTATGTAACCTGCATCAACACGGACTGTATGTAACCTGCCTCAACACGGACTGTATGTAACCTGCCTCAACACTGACTGTATGTAACCTGCCTCAACACTGACTGTATGTAACCTGCCTCAACACGGACTGTATGTAACCTGCCTCAACACTGACTGTATGTAACCTGCCTCAACACGGACTGTATGTAACCTGCCTCAACACGGACCGTATGTACCCTGCCTCAACACGGACTGTATGTAACCCGCATCAACACGGACTGTATGTAACCCGCATCAACACGGACTGTATGTAACCCGCATCAACACGGACTGTATGTAACCTGCCTCAACACGGACTGTATGTAACCTGCCTCAACACGGACTGTATGTAACCTGCATCAACACGGACCGTATGTACCCTGCCTCAACACGGACTGTATGTAACCTGCCTCAACACGGACTGTATGTAACCTGCATCAACACGGACTGTATGTAACCTGCCTCAACACGGACTGTATGTAACCTGCCTCAACACTGACTGTATGTAACCTGCCTCAACACTGACTGTATGTAACCTGCCTCAACACGGACTGTATGTAACCTGCCTCAACACGGACTGTATGTAACCTGCCTCAACACGGACTGTATGTAACCTGCCTCAACACGGACCGTATGTACCCTGCCTCAACACGGACTGTATGTAACCCGCATCAACACGGACTGTATGTAACCCGCATCAACACGGACTGTATGTAACCCGCATCAACACGGACTGTATGTAACCTGCCTCAACACGGACTGTATGTAACCTGCCTCAACACGGACTGTATGTAACCCGCATCAACACGGACTGTATGTAACCTGCCTCAACACGGACTGTATGTAACCTGCCTCAACACGGACTGTATGCAACCTGCCTCAACACGGACTGTATGTAACCTGCCTTAACACGGACTGTATGTAACCTGCCTCAACACGGACTGTATGTAACCCGCATCAACACGGACTGTAGGTAACCTCCATCAACACGGACTGCTTCAACCTGCCTCAACACTGACTGTATGTAACCTGCCTTAACACGGACTGTATGTAACCTGCAATAACACGGACTGTATGTAACCCGCATCAACACGGACTGTATGTAACCTGAATCAAAACGGACTGTATGTTACCCGCATCAACACGGACTGTATGTTACCCGCATCAACACGGACTGTATGTAACCCGCATCAACACGGACTGTATGTAACCTGCCTCAACACGGACTGTATGTTAAATGCCTCAACACGGACTGTATGTAACCTGCATCAACACGGACTGTATGTAACCCGCATCAACACGGACTGTATGTAACCTGCATCAACACGGACTGTATGTAACCTGCCTCAACACGGACTGTATGTAACCTGCCTCAACACGGACTGTATGTAACCTGCATCAACACGGACTGTATGTAACCTGCCTCAACACGGACTGTATGTAACCTGCCTCAACACGGACTGTATGTAACCTGCATCAACACGGACTGTATGTAACCTGCCTTAACACGGACAATATGTAACCTGCATAAACACGGACTCTAGGTAACCTGCATTAACACGGACTGTTTGTAAACGACATCAACACGGACTGTATATGAAGACGACACCAACAGGTCAGAGTGGTCCGGCTCATGAGCTGAGAAGTCAGATCCATATAACAAACATATGAAGCAACTGTATATATGACTGTGTATACGACACGCCCCTCGTCGTCTCTAAATAGATATGTAAATCTAAACATTTATGCAGCTGATATCCGTCTTGGTGGTCTAATTGAACAATCCAAGACAGCTGTGAGGGAGAGTGTGAAACTGTTTTCCAGCAATGGGACATATTCCTATGTTACAATCATTGAATCTGAGCGTGTTGACATCCGGCAGCAGCAATTTGTGGATGTTTCTCTTCACGATGCCAGATTAAGGCGCGTTAAGTTGAAACCCCATACCAACATCACAGTGTATGTTTGTGATTGCGCTAATACTGACAGGTTAATATGGCGTTTGCTTTAGCGTAAACATGACGGATCTCACGTCGCAGTTCGTAAACATTCTTGTGGGGTTTTTGGGTTGTAAGGGTTATAGGGTTGTAAGGGTTATAGGGTTGTAAGGGTTATGGGGTTGTAAGGGTTATAAGGTCGTGAGGGTTATAGGGTTGTAAGGGTTATAGGGTTGTAAGGGTTATGTGGTTGTGAGGGCTATAGGGTTGTGAGGGTTATAGGGTTGTAAGGGTTATATGTTGTAAGGGTTATATGGTTGTAAGGGTTATGGGGTTGTAAGGGTTATAAGGTTGTGAAGGTTATAGGGTTGTAAGGGTTATGGGGTTGTAAGGGTTATAGGGTTGTGAGGGTTATAGGGTTGTAAGGGTTATAGGGTTGTAAGGGTTATGGGGTTGTAAGGGTTATAGGGTTGTAAGGGTTATAGGGTTGTAAGGGTTATGTGGTTGTGAGGGTTATAAGGTTGTGATGGTTATAGTGTTGTAAGGGTTATGGGGTTGTAAGGGTTATAAGGTTGTGAGGGTTATAGGGTTGTAAGGGTTATATGGTTGTCAGGGTTATAGTGTTGTAAGGATTATGGGGTTGTAAGGGTTATAGGGTTGTAAGGGTTATGGGGTTGTAAGGGTTATGGGGTTGTAAGGGCTATAGGGTTGTAAGGGTTATAGGGTTGTAAGGGTTATAGGGTTGTAAGGGTTATGGGGTTGTAAGGGTTATGGGGTTGTAAGGGCTATAGGGTTGTAAGGGTTATAGGGTTGTAAGGGTTATAAGGTTGTGAGGGTTATAGGGTTGTAAGGGTTATGTGGTTGTAAGGGTTATAGGGTTGTAAGGGTTATGTGGTTGTAAGGGTTATAGGGTTGTAAGGGTTATGTGGTTGTCAGGGTTATGGGGTTGTAAGGGTTATAGGGTTGTAAGGGTTATAGGGTTGTAAGGGTTATAGGGTTGTAAGGGTTATATGGTTGTCAGGGTTATGTGGTTGTAAGGGTTATAGGGTTGTGAGGGTTATAGGGTTGTAAGGGTTATATGGTTGTCAGGGTTATGTGGTTGTAAGGGTTATAGGGTTGTAAGGGTTATAGGGTTGTAAGGGTTATAGGGTTGTAAGGGTTATGGGGTTGTAAGGGTTATAAGGTTGTGAGGGTTATAGTGTTGTAAGGGTTATGGGGTTGTAAGGGTTATAAGGTTGTGAGGGTAATAGGGTTGTAAGGGTTATATGGTTGTCAGGGTTATAGTGTTGTAAGGGTTATGGGGTTGTAAGGGTTATAGGGTTGTAAGGGTTATGGGGTTGTAAGGGTTATGGGGTTGTAAGGGCTATAGGGTTGTAAGGGTTATAGTGTTGTAAGGGTTATAGGGTTGTAAGGGTTATAAGGTTGTGAGGGTTATAGGGTTGTAAGGGTTATAGGGTTGTAAGGGTTATGGGGTTGTAAGGGTTATAGGGTTGCATGATTGATAGTCCTGCACCATGACTGTGGAATATATTTATTTTAAGAAAAGAAAACAACCTAGATATGGATACAAAAGCAAGTCTAGCTCGCTCTATTCCACAGCATCGGGAAAAATTATTTGTTTAATCTTAGAGTCTTAGAGTATTATGTAATATAAGATTTCATAGACTAAACGTTAGCCTATATGATTTGGTGTTACAAAACGAAACAAAAAAGACATTAAAGCTTCTTACCTTGCCCCTCAAATCCTGTGAATTCTGACGTCATGAACTGCCTGCAAAGAGTAGATTTCCCAACCCCTGTTCCACCAAGGGTGATCACTTTATAATATCCCCCAGCGTTACCGACTTGTGGGTCCTGCCCCCTGCCCCCACTGTGAGTGCGGTTCCTGTTCCCATCCCCCACGGCCCCCGTGGACATCAGGCTGTGGGTACTCTTCTTCTTGAAGGAGTCCCCTCGGTTGATCACCCCCTTAGAAGTTGTCTTAAAGGATCGAACGCGGGTCAACTTGGTCCCCTTCCCCGGGCTCTGGTCACCTGCCCCCTGGTCCGGCACCTCCAGTAGGTTGGGCTTGACCAGGGGCATACTGTTCCTCCTGACCATAGCGGGCTGGACCTCCAGTTCCTTGCTGGACGGTTTTTGTCTGTTTCTAAAGGAGCAGGATCTTGAATGTGGAGCGGATCCTGCTCCTAGAAGGGTGTCTCTGTGCCCCGTCGGGGATGTGGAGTCCTTGGAGTGAAGACTGGCGGAACTGGTGCCACTGGACGCCATGCTGGCCCGTCGAGTCTTGGGAGGATGATACTCCTCATCCGTGGCGTCCTGTGTCATGTCGGACGTGGAATAGTCCCTCTCTTCAATGTTTATCTCGGGGACAACCCTATCCAGCGTTGCGATCAGCTGGTGCCCCCTCACTATGAATGTATAGCACGAAGGCCTTGTTCACACAAATAAAGTAACTCCTGAACACCGTTAAGAAATCTTGGTGGAAGGACGCGTGGGAAAGTTGGGTTTCGTATATTCTGATATTTTCTTATATGATCTACTTTAATCTAGATTTCACGAGAAGGATTATACTTTCTCAAAGAATACATATACACAGGTATCTGTACACAACTTTTACTTCAACATGTGGCGGATAACCACAACACTGCAGCGAGCTCGCTCTCAACAGGTACTCTCCCGATAGATCCGCCGCAGTTCATGCGCTACCTCACAACTCCACACAGGGCCAGTAGAATCCGCTACGAACACATCAATATCAGTCACAGCCTATAACAGGAATCGCAGAACGTCTGTTCAGTTCCACTGAGGCTGTTCTATATATACCCCGGCAGCGGTCACGTGGCCGAGTTAGTCATGGTGCTGAGATAAAGCAACGGTGATTTGCAGGCTACCTGCAGGTAGAGCGATCTAACGCCTCCCGTCACTCCTGGCAACAACAGTGATTGTGCCACGGGCACTTGCCAGCTGGGTATCCGGGTCACAGACACACAAATCAGTGTTATCAATGCTTTGTTTTCTCGCACCCGGATACAAGAGGTGATGTTTCCTTGCAACAAATGCTGAGTTTATATGTTTCATCACGCCATGTGAGTGAGTGAGTGAGTGAGTGAGTGAGTGAGTCAGTAAGTGAGTGAGTGCGTGAGTGAGTGAGTGAGTGAGTGAGTGAGTGAGTGAGTGAGTGAGTGAGTGAGTGAGTGAGTGAGTGAGTGGGTATGCTGGCGGGTGGGTGTCTGAGCGGTGGGTGGGTGGGTTGTTGTGTGAGTGAGTGAGTGAGTGAATGAGTGGTACATTCTAGACTAACATCTAGTCTCTGAAATCAATATATCGTACAGAAGAAAAAACAGTTGTTCAATTATCTTAATAAAAATATAACAAAAGGGAGCCCAGAGACTCCCTTCCTACTGACACTGCAGTAATCTAGACTTGACACTCTCCCACGTCACATAGCGTCGATGTACGAGTAACGAAACGTTTTTCTGAATGGCATGAAAAAGAGCGATGTATTACCATTACTATTACTACGAATTGGAGAGTAATCCATGCGTGTGCATGTCAGTGAAGATATGTTAGGTTGTGGCACTAGATGGTTATAACAATGGTTCTACGCAGCACACGGTTGATAAATGGTTGAACCTGTGATTTTAAGTATGGTTGTCATGATGGCTAACCTCCTGTGTTGAATGTACACGTGGTCGTATTGACTGCCGAAATGTGGATTCCTCTGATGAATGTAAACGTGGTTGTGTTGTCTGTCCTGGATGGGCTGCAGAAGGAGATTATGTACACGTGGTTGTATTGTCTGTTCTGGATGGGCTGCGGAAGGAGGGTATGTTCACGTGGTTGTATTGTCTGTCCTGGATGGGCCGCAGAGGGAGGTTATGTACACGTGGTTGTATTGTCTGTCCTGGATGGGCTGCAGAGGGAGGTTATGTACACGTGGTTATATTGTCTGTCCTGGATGGGCTGCAGAGGGAGATTATGTACACGTGGTTGTGTTGTCTGTCCTGGATGGGCTGCAGAAGGAGATTATGTACACGTGGTTGTATTGTCTGTTCTGGATGGGCTGCGGAAGGAGGGTATGTTCACGTGGTTGTATTGTCTGTCCTGGATGGGCCGCAGAGGGAGGTTATGTACACGTGGTTGTATTGTCTGTCCTGGATGGGCTGCAGAGGGAGGTTATGTACACGTGGTTATATTGTCTGTCCTGGATGGGCTGCAGAGGGAGATTATGTACACGTGGTTGTATTGTCTGTCCTTGATGGGCTGCAGAGGGAGGTTATGTACACGTGGTTGTATTGTCTGTCCTTGATGGGCTGCAGAGGGAGGGTATGTACACGTGGTTGTATTGTCTGTCCTGGATGGGCTGCAAAGGGAGGGTATGTACACTTCGTTGTATTGTCTGTCCTGGATGGGCTGCAGAGGGAGGTTATGTACACGTGGTTGTATTGTCTGTCCTGGATGGGCCGCAGATTGAGGTTATGTACACGTGGTTGTATTGTCTGTCCTGGATGGGCCGCAGAGGGAGGTTATGTACACGTGGTTGTATTGTCTGTCCTGGATGGGCTGCAGAGGGAGGTTATGCACACGTGGTTGTATTGTCTGTCCTGGATGGGCTGCAGAGGGAGATTATGCACACGTGGTTGTATTGTCTGTCCTGGATGGGCTGCAGAGGGAGATAATGTACACGTGGTTGTATTGTCTGTCCTGGATGGGCTGCAGAGGGAGATTATGTACACGTGGTTGTATTGTCTGTCCTGGATGGGCTGCAGAGGGAGATTATGCACACGTGGTTGTATTGTCTGTCCTGGATGGGCTGCAGAGGGAGATAATGTACACGTGGTTGTATTGTCTGTCCTGGATGGGCTGCAGAGGGAGATTATGTACACGTGGTTGTATTGTCTGTCCTGGATGGGCTGCAGAGGGAGATTATGCACACGTGGTTGTATTGTCTGTCCTGGATGGGCTGCAGAGGGAGATAATGTACACGTGGTTGTATTGTCTGTCCTGGATGGGCTGCGGAGGGAGATTATGCACACGTGGTTGTATCGTCTGTCCTGGATGGGCTGCAGAGGGAGATAATGTACACTTGGTTGTATTGTCTGTCCTGGATGGGCTGCGGAGGGAGGTTATGTACACGTGGTTGTATTGTCTGTCCTGGATGGGCTGCAGAGGGAGATAATGTACACGTGGTTGTATTGTCTGTCCTGGATGGGCTGCAGAGGGAGGTTATGTACACGTGGTTATATTGTCTGTCCTGGATGGGCTGCAGAGGGAGATTATGCACACGTGGTTGTATTGTCTGTCCTTGATGGGCTGCAGAGGGAGGTTATGTACACGTGGTTGTATTGTCTGTCCTGGATGGGCTACAGAGGGAGATTATGTACACGAGGTTGTATTGCCTGTTCTGGATGGGCTGCGGAAGGAGGGTATGTACACGTGGTTGTATTGTCTGTCCTTGATGGGCTGCAGAGGGAGATTATGTACACGTGGTTGTATTGTCTGTCCTGGATGGGCTACAGAGGGAGATTATGTACACGTGGTTGTATTGTCTGTCCTGGATGGGCTGCAGAGGGAGGGTATGTACACTTGGTTGTATTGTCTGTCCTGGATGGGCTGCAGAGGGAGGTTATGCACATGTGCTTGTATTGTCTGTCCTGGATGGGCTACAGAGGGAGATTATGTACACGTGGTTGTATTGTCTGTCCTGGATGGGCTGCGGAAGGAGGGTATGTACACTTCGTTGTATTGTCTGTCCTGGATGGGCTGCAGAGGGAGATTATGTACACGTGGTTGTATTGTCTGTCCTGGATGGGCTACAGAGGGAGATTATGTACACGTGGTTGTATTGTCTGTCCTGGATGGGCTACAGAGGGAGGTTATGTACACGTGGTTGTATTGTCTGTCCTGGATGGGCTACAGAGGGAGATTATGTACACGAGGTTGTATTGCCTGTTCTGGATGGGCTGCAGAGGGAGGGTATGTACACGTGGTTGTATTGTCTGTCCTGGATGGGCTGCAGAGGGAGATTATGTACACGTGGTTGTATTGTCTGTCCTGGATGGGCTGCAGAGGGAGTTTATGTACACTTGGTTGTATTGTCTGTCCTGGATGGGCTGCAGAGGGAGGTTATGTACACTTGGTTGTATTGTCTGTCCTGGATGGGCTGCAGAGGGAGGTTATGCACACGTGGTTGTATTGTCTGTCCTGGATGGGCTGCAGAGGGAGATTATGTACACGTGGTTGTATTGTCTGTCCTTGATGGGCTGCAGAGGGAGGTTATATACACTTGGTTGTATTGTCTGTCCTGGATGGGCTGCAGAAGGAGGTTATGCACACGTGGTTGTATTGTCTGTCCTGGATGGGCTACAGAGGGAGATTATGTACACGTGGTTGTATTGTCTGTCCTGGATGGGCTGCGGAAGGAGGGTATGTACACTTGGTTGTATTGTCTGTCCTGGATGGGCTGCAGAGGGAGATTATGTACACGTGGTTGTATTGTCTGTCCTTGATGGGCTGCAGAGGGAGATTATGTACACGTGGTTGTATTGTCTGTCCTTGATGGGCTGCAGAGGGAGGTTATGTACACGTGGTTGTATTGTCTGTCCTGGATGGGCTGCAGAGGGAGGTTATGCACACGTGGTTGTATTGTCTGTCCTGGATGGGTTACAGAGGGAGGGTATGTACACTTGGTTGTATTGTCTGTCCTGGATGGGCTGCAGAGGGAGATTATGTACACGTGGTTGTATTGTCTGTCCTGGATGGGCTGCAGAGGGAGGTTATGCACACGTGGTTGTATTGTCTGTCCTGGATGGGCTGCAGAGGGAGATTATGTACACATGGTTGTATTGTCTGTCCTGGATGGGGTGCAGAGGGAGATTATGTACACGTTGTTGTATTGTCTGTCCTGGATGGGCTGCAGAGGGAGGTTATGTACACTTGGTTGTATTGTCTGGCCTGGATGGGCTGCAGAGGGAGGTTATGCACACGTGGTTGTATTGTCTGTCCTGGATGGGCTGCAGAGGGAGATTATGCACACGTGGTTGTATTGTCTGTCCTGGATGGGCTGCAGATTGAGGAAATGTGTTCATCCTTGTAGCAGATTAGGAATTAGGAAGTACTTCCACGTGTTGGGAAAGCATATAGGGAAACGGATTAAAAATGTCGTCATCAGTCAGAAAGCTTTTATTGTCTTTGGTTAGCCTCCTCATTAAATCGATGGCTTTTAATAAATACAGAATTAGATGACAAAGAGATCTGTGAATGGAAATACTGTCACCACGTCGAGGTCAATCAGACCGTGCATCTTTATCTGGGGGAAAACCTGTTATTTCTAACTCTCCTGTGACTGTGTTGGTCAGCTGTGTGGGGAGATGGGACGCACGTCACACACATCATTCGAGACACCGACAAACGTCATAGTTGACAATTCACATTCATCTCCGGGCTTTTCATGAGACTTTAGGAAACATTCAAGCCCTTAACATGTATTCAGGTTTTCCTTTCTTGTTTGTTGAGTTAAATGTGTTTACAAAGTACAAGCATGAGACTTGCTACTGGTTGGTGCGAGTACGACACCAGAATAACGTCCTTGACTACGGTAGGTCTGTCTGATGCCGTGGTGACTACCTTATCCAGTGCATCTCACCACCTCGCCCAGTGCACCTCACCATCTCACCACCATACATTCTGCACCTCACCATCTCACCACCTCACCCCATGCCTCTCACCACCTCAGGGCGGTCGGGTAGCCTTGTGGTTAAAGCGTTCGCTCGTCACGCTGAAGACCCGGGTGTCAATCCCGACATGGGTA